TATATATATATATATATATATATATATATACAACAATGATAAGAAGTATTAATCCAAACGACTAAGTAATGGCTTATAAAAACAAATATGTAATTAATTATGCTGTCGACCAAAGATAATAAATAATTTATAACTATGAATGGTGGCTAAAGCCGATATAATATCAATCTTGCAAACGTTTTAACTTATATATTTAAAGGATAACATCTATGTAACCGGCTGATAATGAGGTATTTTTGAATTTTTTATATTTATAAAATTAACTTAATTAAATTAAAAGTCACATAAACGAAAACCAATTTAATTAAAGGTTAAGTTCAAATTACGTTAACTTATTAAAGTTAAAAATTAATTATGTAAGATATACGTTTCTTTATATAATTAATTTTTTAATTATAGATTGTTAATTTATGTAAAATAAGAAAAGCGCTTTTTCATTAAAAAATACTAACTGTTTTGTGCTTAGGTTTCCATACAAAAAAAGAACATTGACGATCAGAATGATGAAAAAAAGTTCTGCTAATGTTATTACTTTATTCTTCAACATAATCTCCTTTTCGCTCAATACACCAAGTCCAACGAGTTTCTAGCTTCTTTAAGCCTTCCAAATAATAAGAAGTTTATAAACCGCCAAAATATGCGTCTGTTTCCGATTCAACTTCTTCATTTGGAGCAAATCTCTTTCCCTGGAGCCATCTTTTGAGATTTGGAAACAGGTAGAAGTTACACGGAGCCAGATCTGGAAAATACGGTGGATGTAGGAGGAATTCGTTCAATTTTGCCATTGCTTTTATCGATTTGTGAGCTGGTGCAATGTCTTGATAAAAGAGAATTTTTTTCTTCGTTAAATGAGGCCGTTTTTTCTTGATTTCATCATTCAATCGGTCCAACAATGATGCATAATTTTCTCCTGTAATTGTTCTTCCTTTTTCAGGATAATTGATGAGGATTATTCCATGTGCATTCCAAAACACAGTGGCCAGAACCTTTCCAGCCGATTGTTGCGTCTTTGGTCGCTTCGGAGCACTTCCACTCTTTGGAATCCATTGTGCCGACTGTTGTTTCGATTTAGGTGTATAATGGTGGATCCATGTTTCATCAACGGTTATGTATAAATGCAAAAATTCCTTTGATTTGCGCCTAAACATGTCCAAACAATGCTGAGAAGTGCGAACTCGTTCATGTTTTTGATCGATTGTTAGCAATC